ACCTTTTCTTACCCCAAAAAAAGTATTGATTTAAACATGATTCTTGCCAATGTATTTAGTACAGATTATTGGTGTTTGCATTTTTTTTAAATTACCACAGATATTGCGGTAATAATGTTTTGTTTGCATTTTAATCTAGTACAATAGTCATAAACCAATGCTTCATGAAACAAAGACGCCCGTGTTTTTCTTGTGTTTTTGCATAGAGGAGGATTAGAACTTCTGTCAGGTTTTTATTGTGGTTTACATTCTAGCTCGGGTAGTTTCCCCTCACTTCCTATTCCAACAGAAAGTGAGAAGAAATTTCACTTGTCACCAAAACTGGTGTGCCCATTGGAAGAATTCCCTGCTACTACTGTTTCACTTTAGTTAATGTTGAAATCACTTTAGTTAATGTTGGAAATATTTCCCTGAACAAAACTTAACAGTTGATGAAATGAGGACACAGAAAGCAATACCAGAGGTTCTAACCCTTCCACATTACCCAAAACATTTTGGCTGAAGTTCCACTTTCAACACCTCTGTCCAAACTCCTACTGTGTTATTTACTTATTATATTGCTATGAACATAAAACTGGAAAATATAATCCGCTTTATATTTTATTTTTCTACCACTTGGCTAATTCAGCTTCACCACTTCTGCACTTCTGTGTAAGTGAATGTCTCATGTCTTATTTCCCACATGAGTCGCCTTTCAGTAAACATACACAGAACTCTTTGGTTTAAATGCTAGTCATTCTCCCCAAGGACAACAACTCTTCAGAGCTGCCATGGACACGCACATTAATGATGCCACTTGGGGTAAGAGTACTCCTCTATCCCAGAAGAAAAAAAACTATGCCAAAAGCTGGGAAGCCTCACCCCACCCCCAGGCCAAAAAGAGTTCCGTCTGTTACTTCCAGGCCTCAATCTCGAATGCCAAACCCAAGTTAGGAGCCTAGTTTCTCCACAAACCCTGGGCCCTTAAATACCCCAAACCTGTAGACAAGTCCTCTTTGGCATAAAGAGATGCCCACACTTTCCATAGTGGAGGGAGGTCCGTTAGCCTTTCCTGACACCTGGATAGACCACATCTCAGATGCCTTGGTTCAGTACGTGGTTTTTAGAAGTTACAAATTAGAGTTACATTCTCTGCCTCCTCCCCAGTTCATGTCTTCCACCCTTCCTGTGTGTCTGCACAGATTAACAAATCTTTATGCCTCTCTGTCGATATTCTAGAGCAAGGGGTTATTGATCCAGTTCCCGAGTCAGAAAGGTTCCCCATCTTAGATCTTGTGTCCTTAAATGTGTTAATTAAGCCCCAAAAATATGCATGGAATCTACCAGATCTGCACAGCCTCCCTCCATCAGGAAGATGTTCTGGCTTTCACAACAATCAAGAATGCAAACTTGCATATCCCTATTTCTCCAGCACATCAGCAATTTCATTTTACTCTGGGTCTCTGGTACTTTTAGTTCATAGGCCTGCATTCGACCTATCTTTTAGCACCCCATGTGTTCACCAAACGTCTAGCTCCTGTGCTTGCCTTTTTATACTTTCAGAGCATCCCTTTTGTGGGATTTTTTTTGTTTGTTTGAAAATTGAGTTTATTTTATTGTTCTTGAAAAATATACAGCATAAATGGAAACAAAAAAAAAACATCCACGAACCAACAAAAAAGACAATTTGGCTGTGACACACAAATAAATGCACTGTACACAGTACAGTTAAAATGTAAATTAAAGTGAAACAAAGTAAGGTGGATCAGAGCATTACACTGATAGAAATACATCACAACAGTTCAAAGGGCAGCCAAAGTGTCCAGGTTATTGAGCCACAGTACCCATAAACTTCAGAGGACAACCTCTGCTAGTATATGTAGCTATGTAAAACTGCAACATAGAGTTAACCAGTCCCATGTTTCCACGGTAGATGTGTTCAGGTTCTTTAAATTAAGGTTAATATCTTTGGGTGCTTGAAATAGAATACCCAACAATGTGTAGAAATGAAAGTGGGGAGGTGCTGCCATACAGCAAATTGTTTTTTAGAAAGTGTCAAGGGGGGGTGAGATTAAAAGACTCATAAGTAAAAATGGAATTACTAATTTGAATTCTTAAGTATCAGATTTGTGAAGCCCATTGTAAGAGTAAATCTGGTTTCATCCTGGCCCATGTTGCCAAACCTAGTGGTAGATCTGCAATTTGCTCCAATTAACGCTCAGACTGGAAAAATAGTAAATCTAGGATCCAAAAGGCAGCTCACAGAAAGGGCCCAAAATCCTGTAAAAACAAAACTATATCATCTTCATAAATGGCTTGGCGCTTTTCTATGCTGCCAATCGTGAGTCCCCAAAAGTCAGTAGAGAACTGCAGGGCAGCGGCAATGGTCTCCATCATTACAACAAAGGAAAAGGGGCAACCCTGTCTAGTCTGACTAGTGATGAGGAGGAGAGCCTACCATAAATCTTGACCTCAGCCCGGAGACACTGATAGAAGCGGGAGATCCACCTTAAGAACCACAGAACAAAGCCAAATTTGTCAAAGGAACAAACTCCTAAAACACCAATCAACTGAATCAACGGCTTTTTCAATATCTATAGCTGCCATCACTCTTGAGCCCTGCTGGTCATGGGCATACAGGAGGTGCATGCAAAGCCTATGCAAATGATCTTTTGTGGATCTCTCTAACCTAAAACCTGTCTGATCGATATCTACTAGGACCAGGAAAATCCTGCAGGCCAGGATTTTGTTCACAATTTTAAGATAATTGTTTAACATAGAAATGGGCTTATACAAAGGGCAAAGGTGAGGTCGTAGACTAAAAACACAATGCACGGCTTACCCCTGTCATGCATCCTTGTTATCCACATTTGGTGCATGAATAACCCTCTTCTGAAGTAATTGTCTCAAAGACTGCAGAACCAGCACACAATGCACACAATGCTCTTCCAAAGAAAATCAAATTTTATTCCACATGCACATTCCACAGAGGAGGAGATGTGCTCAGAAAACTGTTCCAATATGAAGCCCTGCGGATCTTTTGTTTATTTGTAATCCTAGAGTCCACAGGGTCCCAACCACTAGTTTTATACAATTTGTGATTGTCATAATATTTTGATGTTGGTGTTCCCATTGTTATTTTAGGTTTTACTATATAATGTCTGGGTTTGACTATGTTTACCCATATATTTGAAGTGTGTATTCTCTTTTTTTCCCCTCTGGAACAAGCAACCACCAGTTGCCTCCTTTCTTCTTAAGGTGATTTTGGCCTTCATCTCATGGAGATTTCCCTTCATTAGGTCCCCACACACCTTGCGATAATCGTACGATAATCGCTGGAAATCCCGCGATCGTACGATTATTGTAAGGTGTGTGGAAGCCGTGCGACTTCTGCTACTGTAAGTTTGCACGACTTTTAACTTACGGACATGTTCGAAAACCCGCCGAGCATCGTACGATGTTCGGCGGGTTTGTGGCATGTTCGTACGATAAAAGCCGTACCGGCCAGTGTGCGCAAGCGCACACTGCCCGTTCGGCATTGCGGTCATCGGAAGCCCGCCCCTCAGGGGGCGTGGCTTGCGATCATCGCAATTACGATCTGCCTATGCAAGATAGGCAGATCGTACATTTTTTTAAGTACCTTACAACCATCGCAAGACAAAAGTCTTGCGATGGTTGTAAGGTGTGTGCCCAGCCATTGTCAGCCAGCTGTGTGAGTCTACTTTACAGCCATTGCTTCCATTAGAAAGACTACTCTCTATTTATCATTCCTGATGTTCCCCACAAAGAGGAGCCAGATTCCTGTTTCACCATTTCTCAGCAGTTCAGACAGACCATCATTCAAGCTTATGGTCTTAAGGATCGGTTCCACTTTTTCCTGTCAAAGTACACTCTGCTAGGTCTGTGAGTGCTTCTTGGGCTTTTCTGCAACAGGCAACTGTTTTCCAGATTAGTTAAGGCCTCATCTGATGCCAGCTTTGGGTGTAAGGTCCTTTAGTCAGCTCTTTGAGCTGCAGACATTTTACAGTTTTTTGTTGTATATAGCTGTCCTGTTAGCACTTTGTTTTGCTGTGTTGCCTACTCTCCAGTGTAATTGCTTTTGGATGTCCTAATTGTCTTTGAATCCTGTGCCCCTTAATGAAAGAGAAATAAAACTGGATTTTAGTACTTGCTTTTTAAATCTGTTTTTGGAAGTTCAAGGAAGGCCACAGTCCCCACCCCACTCCTTTTATAATTGTGTTCTTAATACTTTGTTATAAAACTGAGACCAATCACTGTTTTTTTGTTTGCCAGTATCTAAATCCTCTTGTATAACTCATTTGTTTTGGAATACTGTGCCCACCAATGAGCTCCAAGAAAATTATGTTATGGTGATAACAAAAATCCAATTTTTTTTGTAATTCCTTAACAAAAAGGATTTATTTTTGTTTGATTTACTATTGGTTTGTGTCAGAACTGATCATGTGTGACGCTTACTTCCCTAAATGGGAGTGATTGTGTGCCTGGCCAAGTACACTAACAGTTGGATTGTGCATTGCCAGGAGACCATTCACTAATGTCTATGGTGATCTTTATATTTAATATTCATATGTTGTTCTTCTTTTAGTACATGCACTACTGACTATAATACCGAGGCTTTATAAGAGCTAGCAGATAATATCTCTTTATATGGCTTACTGGGATCTATGGTTTGAGTTAGGTAAGCCCTTTGCTTTTTCAGTTCTCATTTTCCTGGCAAGTGAGTCAGTACCATGTCTAATTCTTTGGCATTTGTTATTTGGGCCGCTGTTGATTTTCATTCTGGTCTGAGGTACCAATTGAGCTTTTACAAGGAGAGAGGCAAATTGGCAGCTTTATAAGACATCAAGCAGTGAGTGTTTTAAATGGCAGTATGCATGGCTTCAGGCCAGAGCTCACTCATACTCATACTCATTTTTTTATTTAATAATCTAGTGAGTCGTTTCTTCGGAAGCTTGAACCAGATTTGATGTTTATAAATAAACAATTGTGTGTATTTGCAGGAGTGTAATTATTGATGGCCTATCTGTGGAAAGAAACCATATTCTGGTTCGGATGAATGCTGTTGGAGGACCACATGAGCGTATACTACCTCCCAGAACCTTGCTTCAGGTATTGATTTACTTTGATATGGTTTGAAATTAAATGTGAAAGCTGAAGTGATATGTGAATGGACTTAGGTTTTAATAAATGCAAACTTGAGAAAAGGAAAAATTGCACAGTACAAAAAAAACTAATTCTGTATAATTTTTCTAGTGGATGTTATAAAATGGCACTAAACACTGATTAATTGTGATGGTAAGATCCCAGTCTTTCGTGTCATGAAAAAAAACTAAATTGTTTTGCAGATTACAAGTGCACACATGTACTCCACACTTAATATACCGTGAGGGGAATTTATCTGAACTGGAGCAGAACAAATCTGGAGCAGTTGCCCATGGCAACCAATCCGTTCTTTCTTCATTTTGTTCAGTCAAGATTTGAAAATGAAAGAGTGAAGCTGATTGGTTGCCATGCGCAGCTGCACCAGATTTTGTCTGCTCCAGTTTTGATAAATTCTCCTCTGTATGTTTTGCATTGTAAAGAAGTACCTCTTAATAAATGTGCTGCACTCCAAAGTGACACTTCCTTCTGAGATTAGTGGTTACTCCAACTGTTCTTATATAAAATATTGTAAATACTTTAACTGGTGGTCATGGACCTCACTGACTGACTAACAGCTTTGAGATGTTCTGTGTTCCAAACCAAAATTATTTGCACTGTGCACAAAATAACTTTGTGATAATATTAAAGTATATGAAGGTGTGTCTTAGGTCAACCATTTAAAACTGACAGCAAGCACATTTTAATTGGCCTGGGTATCAACTATCAGACAGAAAGGAGAGGACTGGCTTATATCTAATTGTCTTGCTTATGATGAGCAGCCTTACTATAAGCAAGAATTGGTGTTGAAGCCCTGGCTATTAAGGCAAGGGTCATTCCTTTGACTTTGCTTATCACTACTTAGGTACACAAAACACAGCAGGATGTAGGGTCTATCTAAGCTGTGCAAAGTCAAATGTAGAGTTATAGGCAACTAGAGACAGACATTGCAACAGGCAATATTGGAGCATTTCCAGCTCAGTACAATGGATGCAATAAAGGTCTGTAGGGGCATAACAGAACAAAATATATAATAGGACGTTCAATCCGTATTATTTCCCTGCTGTGCTCTACAATGTCAGAATTATCAGAATGGTTGATATATCTTTCAGGCTTCAGTTAAGCAGTAATTTGCTCTTGGTACAATACAATTTCATTACTGCAAAGTGTACTACTTGTTTCTGTTTGTTTGTTTATTTATTACAGGTATGTATACAGTGCAGACAATCTATGCAGCGTTTTTCACATCATTCCCTGGCCTCAAGGAGTTTACAATCTAAGGTCCCTCTTAAGGGTCTACCGATAATCGGGACCAATATTAACAGATTTTTAAATTATCGGTAATTAAACACTGCACATTTCAGCCGGTTCTTGAGAAACCGGACACAATTTGCACAGTGTGTGCCGCTCTGTGGCTGGCATCCCTCAATCAGCCGATTGAAGGAGCCAGTCAGAAGCCGACAGCCATTGAGCTGCCAGCCCTGTTCGAGTATTTTGTGAGTACTGCCGTCAGAATAGAAAAACAAAACAACAAAAAAAACAACAGCAGATAGCAGAGGAATAAATAACTAGGCTGCTAATGGCTATTTTAATTTGCAATAGCAGGCTGGCTATTGCACCTGCCCACTGCTGCTGTCAATCAGCAGAGGTGGACCTGAAGTTCTTCTTCAGGTCCTCCTCTGCTGATTGACAGCAGCAGTGTGCGTGTGCAATAGCCAGCCTGCTATTGATTCCCATGCTATCTGTTTTTTGTTTGTTTTTTTCTGTACTGTCCCATGCGTTGCTTGTAAGCCTACAACTTACATCTGATGTGGATTATCTATTGCTATAGACAGTGGTATTAGAGGACTACAATTTGACTGGAATAGTGTGTGTCCATTGTATCTTTCTAATAAAATATGTGTTGGCTTTGGCACATATATTTTTCTCTCCTAGAGAATGTTCTTCTCTGTGTATATAAATATAGATAAAAGTGCACACCTACCTGCCTAACTTATGGCAGCTATGTCACCTTCCCCTTATAATGTTGAACCTCTTCCATATCTCTTCTACAGGATGAAATGTCCATTGAGCTCATTCTGCATTCTCCAGCTGCGCTGTTCATTAGACAGGTTCTTTTGTTAAGTGCCACACTCCTCTGCATGCTGTCAGTCTCCAGTTGATTAGATGGAAATTGCTCTCGACTCAAAAAAAAGAAAGCAAGATTGATGCGAAAAATTGGAAATATAGTGTCTTTAGAAAGCTGTTACCTTCATTTTAATGGAAAAAAAGAGGAGGGGGAAGAAATTGATAAACACCACTTTCACAAGATACTTGTTATAAATGATACATCTGTCACACCCATAGAATTTAATGCCTTTATAGTTTTTTTAATCACAGCAAAGTGCAGCATTAAACTATGTAACTTAATGTAGTTTTAATTTGACAGCAGTCATTTTGACAGTTACTGGAGACACATACTGCTGGAATTAATAGATTCGGTTTGTACAGTAGAAATGTGGGAAATCGATTAATCTGCTGAATATGTTTCATGCATGTGATTTCTTTGCCTAGAGTAATGATCCGTATCCTTGGCCAATGTTTTCATCTTATCCAATGCCCAAGTGCTACATACCAGAGATTCCTATACCTGATGACCCTAAACAAGGTGAGAATCAATAATTCTGTCTTTGTCTTAATTTGATGTTATCTGGTTTGCACAATAATGAGTTCACACTCCTTTCATTTGAATTTAATAGCCCCCCGGAATTCATAAATATGTGCAAATTGTGTGTCATAAAAATTTATTTTTATCAGATTTAGATGTCTTCAAGCTATAATTATTGTTGTATGGTGTGAAAATTAAGATCGTTTTTCTGGTCAGCATTGAATAGTAATGAGTATCACATAGCTAAGATTCCTAGCAGTATAGCAAATATATTAGTAGATGTTGCTGAAAGTCTTTGGATTCTGACCTTTACAAGTACATTTCAGGCAGCTCTTGGACTAAACTTGAGAGATCTCAATGTGTCCTTCTTAGAGGTCTGCATATGCTGTATGATATAGCCTACAGTTATGTATGCAGAAGGCAAGTTCTATAAATGAATTAACAAAATCCTGCAAGATCTCTGTATCTCAGTGGTAGATGTGTTTGTATTTTGCACACAAGACATTGGGATAAATCATCTACGCAGAAAAGCTCAAAGCTGCAAGATCTCACAATTTTAATCTGAGATCGAATGCAGGCATCAGCGGTGGGCTGGCCCTGAGACCTAGGCAGAGAAAATTGGCCAGTGACGATGTGGAAAAAAAAATGATTGCAGTGCAGGCTGGAGAGCTGTGCTCATGAAGCCATGAAATGTAAGTAAATAAACATTAGGAGGAGTTTGTAGATAATATTTTTATAGCAGCACAGACTGTTATTAGACTGGCACGTGGGTGGTCAGGAGGTCTGCTTTATGACCATTTACAACTATTTACAATTTACAACTATTGTAGGATGGCCACACATAGATTTTCATTGTGAAATCTACCAAGGTTAGGTTGAACTGTTCAAAAAAAAATTATGCAACTTTATCTATACTTTATGAATACTTTGATGACTTGAAACTGTTCAGTTTGCAAAGTGAATTTTCAGTCTTTTTAGTAAATAGAATGAAGCTGTGTTCAATTCAGTATACCAATCATGCCAGCACATTTTGTTTTTAATCTCTCTTGCACATGATTGGGTATTCAAAGTGGGCATTATTTAGTATCATTCACTCTAAGTGAACAGCTTCTACTCCTTTAGTGTCAGTGACATCTGGTGTACCACATCTGTACTAAGGGTGAACTGTGACTAGTTCTAGGCCATTTTGTTTATATAAGTATAAACAGTGTTGTTGCATTATCTATGTGATACAACATACATTTATTTTTAATTTTTTTCTGAATTTAAGGTGTTTACTGGAGATGCACTGAAATTAAATGTCTAGACCAAAACCAACATTTATTTTCTTTTTAAAAATAATTTTATTTTATTATTTTTATGTTTTTTGTTTGTTTTTTTAACGTGATTGCTTGCTGTTAGGGGCTTTGGGGAAATATAAGGCGTCCAAACAGACCCCTGATATTTCCCTTTTGAAATAGAAAAAGATATTGAGCACACAGAGTCCTAAATCTCTTTTCCTGCAGACTCTGTTATGAATTAACAGGAAACGTCCCATGCCTCTGAAAGTTACAGCAACAAACCAGAATATGTTACGTGTTGTCAAAGGCACATAAAGATGGCAGAAGAATCATGCAAAGTCTCTTATGCCAAAAAAACTTTACCTGCTCACAGTTTTTTTGTTTTGTTTTTTTGTTTTTTTTGGGGGGGGATTCACTGATTGTTTCCTTGGAAATACTTAAAAATAGCTTTTTATGATCAGTGAAATTGTTGCTTCCTGACCTTTTCTCCATTGCTCTGTGCTGGCAGACTTGAGTTCAATATTATGATATTACTCTTACAACTTCATGAGTCTGCAGCTTTAGGATTATCCTTAATTTTCCAATCGTGCTTTTCCACCTATTTAGATTATGGGAAGCTCATAAATCGTTGACAGACATCAGCAACATTCTTGTCTGCTAACACTAAGTAATATTTACAGACTGACAGACTTCAGCATCAATCCAGTATTTAGAAAGCCAGCACAGTGTATCTCTGACTCCTGCCAGCTAATGGACCACTAATGCTCCACTACTCGCCAAGCCAGGAAACCATATTCAAAGAAAAAGTACAGTGAAGTGCATTAAATTAACAAGATTATATGTATATATCATTTCCATAATACAAACAGGAGAGTAAATTGTAAGCCTTTCCAGCTATACAGTTTCTCAGAAATGCAAATGACAATCCAATAATCAAATATAAGGAAGCTCTTTAACTGGACTTCCTGTTGCCTCTGTTCTTGTGTAGCCATGATTATTGGTTTTAAGCTAAATGGTTTGAGAGGACATCAGATGTCATGAAGTATGTACTTATTAAACATAATGAAGACAAAAACTGTATGTCATTGTTTTTACTAACATGGATATAAGCTACGTGTAAAGAGTACTTTACTGTGTGTGAGTCTCACAAAAAGAAGTAGAAATATTAATTATATATTATTTGTTGCATCACTAAATCAGTTTGTATCCTCTAGTGCTACATTTTTTTTCTTGAACATATCAGAAAAGGAAGGTTATGTGCCTGTATGCCCAAGGCCATATTTTCAGCTTCATCAGAATTCATCTTAATTGCCAATTTCAAAACTACTAGAGCAGTTAGAAAGTAGCACTGCACAATCTGCCTTTTTATTAAATTAAAAGGTGATTTCTGTCTATTATTCCCTACTCAATCAAAATTTTGCCAGAGGCATAGTGCTATGGAGCATATCTTTTGCAGTAGTCAAAGTCTACATCTCTTTCTTAAGCACCATAATGATTTGGCAAACCATCAATAGCATTAAAACCAACAAGGTATCAATTTATAGCATGTATTTTGCAAAAACTACAGGTGTAGAGACCGATTAATTGGTGCTAATGGTAAAATCTATTTAGAGATATAATTCAAACATTTTAGAGTTGTTTTTAACCCAGTCTTCTATTTCATGGGGAAAAAAAATCTGTCATTCTAATAAGAAACCCATTTTTAAACTTTTTAGTTTACTTTTATGTATGTATTTTCCTTTATCCACATATTTTCCTTTATTGCTCCTGCTATTTATATACAGCCATGGGCAAATATATTGTCATCCCTGCATTTCTGTCAGACAATGCACCACTTCGCGCAGAAAATAGAATGTCAGATTTGGCTTTTTCTTCCCTCCATTTTTTGGTGTCATACCAATAAAAAAAAATGAGAATGCCTAAACATTTGTAATTGCAACAGTTTTCTGCGCAAAGTGGTGCATTATCTGACAGAAATGCAGGAGTGCCAATATTTGTGCCCATGACTAATATATATTTATAATTGTTTTTATTATTATTTTTTTATCTGAATCTTACTCTGATCCATTAAGTATACCCTCGTATAGCTTTCTGTTATAATATCTGTCAAGTAAAGATACTGGTTGCTACATTGGGGGGAAACCTGAAAACCTCTAATTAGCATTACAGAGGGTTTTTTTTGTTAAGCATTTCCATATTGCCAAAAGTATGTCAACAACATTTATGGGTATTATTCCAATACAATGTTATGCAGCATTTATTTAGCTGCATATACCAGCTTTATTGCCAGTTCATCCTTGCATGGGCACTATAAAGGAAAATGGCTTAGGAAGGTTGTCACTGCTGGCATGTTTTTGTGAGGAAGCTAATTAATTGTTTATCAAATGACTTCAGTACTTTCTCAGCCCTTGACCTAGAAAAAGTATGCAGATTAGGAGATCTGACTTCATTGTGATATCACTTGTGTTTTTATAATTGCCTGGAGTTCAGCTTTAAAGTGCACCTCCAGTTTTGCAAGAACATTTGAGAAAACATCACTATATGTTTATGTGTTCCCATTCACTCAGCATACCTAAAAAAATATATCTAAAGAAATATTTCTAACCGTTTAATGTATCTGTGTAGCTGGCCTTTGCAACCTTCTCTCTCATTTTACATGTGACAGGAAACTCTGACTGTCCCCATAGAAAGACTAGGGGCAGACTGAACTTCTCCCCATTGAAAAAGAACTCCAGGATTTAAAAAAAATTAACCGTTGCAGTCCGCACTGCAAGAGTTAAGCCCCCATTTTGGTCTAGGGACCTGATCCTGACCTGATTATTGGTCCTGCAGCAGTGACCGCTCACCTTCTTTTTTTCCCCTCCACTCCAGCTGTGGAATGTCCCTCAGCATCTTCACATCTAATGGGCCTGCATTAGACATGATGACACTACGGGTGCTTAGACTAGAGGAGCCCGGAGAGAAGAGGCTGCATGGACACCAGTCTAGCAGCCAGACGGGATGTATGTCTTCTTTATTTTCACCCCCCCCCCCCCCCCCACAAAGGGCGGGAACCCCTTCTGATAGG